AAGGATACCTTACATACTATGGTTAATAATATGGTTTTACCCAAGATTGATATGATGTATTTCGATGGACAACCGAGTCAGTACCGCCGTTTTACTAGCTGGTTTACTAGCATTATCGAGAGTAAACTGACCGATAGGGGCCAACTTTTGTGATATTCGTTATACTATTGTAAAGGAAGGGCCAGGACGGCTATTGAAGCCCACATTTCTCTGCCCAGTCATTTGGGTTATGATAAAGCTAAACAAATTTTATATGATCTATTTGGTGGGGAACACCTTGTCGCTCGTGAAATGATTACTGAGTTACTTAACCACAAATCTGTTGAAGGATTTGCCGATAGCTTAACTGACTTCGCAATTAAGCTACGTCATGCATGCATAACATTGAAGGAAACGAGGCATATGTCTGGTGTGAATTCTACGGCTAATTTGGAAATAACAATGTCGTGTCTACCACCAGAACTACAAAATAAGTGGGCGAGACTTGACGATAAGATTATGATGGCCGAGAAGTAGCCGAGCTCTAAAGAATTTGTGATCTTTGTAGAAGAAAGAGCCAGGATTGCTTGGACACGTTTTGGTAGATTGGTACATTGTAACTCAAAGTTCAGTGAAAGTAATTAAGAATGCCAAGTTGATAAGAGATCACGCTTTAATGTAGTTAAGCGGGAACCAAGCTGTAAGATCCATTTTGAATGTGTTGTGTGTTGGTGAAAATCCCTCCATGTATATACTTGTACTTTATTCCTATTGATCACATTAGTTGTACATTGTTGTATTTTGATTACATTTGAATTGTTGATACTTGTATTTTTTATTATAGTTTTTGTTTTTATTACGCATTCACTAAGTTTGTGTTTCTTCCTGAACTGCATCTGTATTGTTTACTTGACACTCGTTCTTGGCGGTAGCCATATTGATTTGTTCTCCTGGTGTGTGATCTATCCAGTCAGGATAGAATAGCGTTCATTTGTTGTAACTGGTAATTTTTCCTCATCTTCTATCAACTTCTTTATTTATTGTAATTTAGATTTGATTGATTGAACAATCATTGGTTGAATAGCCGGGTGATAATATTTGTTTAGGTAACGATTTACATTTAAATTTATAATGAATTATAGAACCGCTATTTACCCGATTACTTGTTTTGATTTCGACGGGATAAGGCGCGTGTCTAAGATCTTCGGTCGGCTATTCTTCAACATCCAAACCGTGGTTTGGATCCTACACAAGCAACTCATTCAAGGCTTTCAGTTGGCAAATTTGCTTTGGTGATCACAAAGAGACAGTGTAGGAAGTTATCGAAAATACATGTTACGGAAGGGAGACAGGAAGTGAGAAGACGTGGTCTATGTTACCTGTGCTTAAGGGAGGATCACATAGCCAAGTCATGCAACTTTGAATAATTCATTCTACATATTGATGGTATTAATAACCATGTAGTGAACTTAGTTAAGGGTTGGGACTCGTCGAAGGTTTGTTTGGGTATCATTCCGGTTAAACTGTATGGTCCAAAGGAAACTTTGGAAACTTAGGTCCTTCTTGATAGTGGTTCAGATATTTCCCTCGTATGCAAATAGTTATTTAATCAGCCGGGTTTTAGGGTAAGGAGGCTTCAAAGACAACAACCACTGTGAATGAAACGACTAACTGTAAATGTTTGGATGTAAATTTAGAGGTATTTTCTCTGGATGAACAGGGTTCTGTGAAGATCAACAGGGCTCATGCGACTTAGATGTTTCACCGGATCTAGAAAGATTATATACTTATGAGTTCGAGGAGAGGGACCATATTGGCAAACATGGTTCACTTGAATCAAAGGTTTCAGCAACAGTCAAACTAAGTAAAGCAATATGTTTGGAAAATCTGCTTAGTAAACGGCCATACAATGTTAGTGTTGATGAGTCTCGTAATGAATCTTACTGAAAGGTGGTCGAAAATTCATTTGTATTTACAAGAGATCTAGTGTTTATATTGGGTTTACGTGACAATACTGCCAGGCAGTGATTCACACAATTTAATTTGTGGCTAATCATCATGGGAAGTAGGGCTTTATATTCTTCTGCGAACTCAAACAGTTGTTTGTGTGTCATTATACAATTGGATGTTCTTAGACCTGATTCTTAATGCTCTAATTATAGTATTTAGGATGTTTAGAATGCCTTTATCGCCTAAGGCAAATGTCAGGAGGGAGGCGAACTTTTCATTACTAATGTTGGATCTTTTCATGGTTATAGTTATTATTAGAACGACAATTTGGCCGACTATTTGTAAGTTGCGAATAAAATTTGGTACCTGAATTAGGGTTTGGTTCTACTGTTAATTTGGGTTCGTAAACTGCAAATAAATCGATATACCGTACTTCAATAACCGGAATGAGCAAAATCTTGCATGTAACAGTTACATCATGACAAACCTACAATTTCAGGATTAAGTCTATTATTAGAGCAGTACTGATATCGAAATAGACCATAATTCTACACACTCATATTATTATTATTTCATTATTTTGTGTGGTGAGGTCTGGTCTGTTTATATGTCTGAAATATACGATCCACGCAGTGGAGGTTTATATTTGTGTTCTGGACTGAAGGGACTAGACTAGGTGGATAATAGCTATGAAAAGTACCAATAGGGACTCAGGGTTGATTCAAGGCTGCCAGTGCTGTCTGACGCATCATCAGTTTAGCACAGGGGCGAGGTAATAGAAGTCGGCATTCTGATAGGTGGCTTTGTCACGTGATATTTGACGGGTCATGGAACATTATGCAACCAACTTACATTAAAGGACAGGCTCATTCGGCAGTGGTCGCAATCTGTTGTCTGTTCCTGTTGAATTATGGTCCCTTATGATATTAGTACTGCTCTAATAATAGACTCAATCCTAAAATTGTACATTTGTCATGATGTAACTGCTTATCTATAATATCTTACGTGGAAGTCGTATCATTGTCTACACCGACTCATCATGTCGTAACAATTGCCAGTATATGATGGAGAACATATTCAGGCTGGAGATAGAACAATATATTTAATATGAGTGATAGCAAGTTGCAGAGATTGACCACGCCTGCAAGGCCGAGCCATGCCGTTCGACTACTTCAAACTAACCCTATTCATTCTTTCCGCCTTCTCCATCATTTGGTTTTCCTCTGATTTAAATATCGAACACATATTTTCTCAGTCGTCTCGTGTTCAGCTTTGAAGATTGTGTGGTTATGGCCCAATGCTAGTACATACGTACGTACGAAGTTCTACGTTGTTACTGACTGACTGACTGACTGACCTACCCATCATAATATATTTCTGTAATGACTTTATTTGTGATGTAAGGTCATCAAAGTATCTATCGTACTTTGTTATGACGAGACTTTAGTCTGCGCAACGTACTAACTCTTAGTCGTGACTTTGTAATAACTTAGGTTGAGTAGTTATGAGTTGACCTAAAATAAATAGACATATTTCAAAACAATAAAGCTCACTTCCATATTTTGTATAGACATCATATTTCTTTGTATTTTTGTACAGGCAACTCCCGCCTCACGGTGTGCTGTTACACTAGCCAGTGGTCCTGGCATTCAAATGCTGTTAACATCATCAGTAAAGATGACGTGATAGACACTACAAATGAAACACTGTACAGGACATGGTGAAGCTTAGGATTATATTTGCATTCTCGGTTTCGAAAGTAACCACTAACACTCTGTATTCAGTTTGTGACCAAACCACCAATACAGGCTGATTTACGATAAGACTCCTTATCTTCTAGGCAAAAATGTAGTGATTTAATGACTTTCTGAAAGTCCGGATTCCGAAAACATACCTAGACTTTCTAGATCAGATGTCTGTGGAATAGATATTTGAACCGATTATGTGTGTCTCTGAAAACATGGGTTCATTTCATAAGGAAGATGCAAGTAACTTATGAAAATCATTTAGTGTAACCCTTTAATTTAAATGGCGGCCCTCATTACTAAACGCGGGGACCACTTTACATTTATGCGATCCAGACGCGTACTGATGGGAGAGTTAGACATAGAAGTAAATCAAACCCAGTCTTTCTACTGATGGAGTACAGATAATAAAATAATGGGGTGAGGAAGGGACTAGTTAACTGAAAAAGCGAGCCCATAGGGCTTCTATATCTACATAAGACTTCATCTGCCAAAGCGTCTCTCAAACACGTTCTAAATTGAACTCGCATACGGATATCATGCTTAACAAAATAGGTAGGCTACATTAAAGGAAATCTTGGACAGGTACACTGAAAAACCTGTTCTGAGTTATAGATAAATACTACCAGTGAATTTTGGCTGAATGTTACCGGTCAGTTTAATTCACTATATTGCCTAAAATGTTCAGAACTTCCAATTAGTCACTGTTTGCGAATGTGGTGTTAAATTGGCGAAAATCATCAATCCACGCGAGCTGATTCCTTGTAATTACTAAGTTTTGTGGCTTTTGGAAGTCTTACCTCGTTTATCACAAAAAATATCAATGTTTCCAACTGAAATTATCTCGTTATCTTTCTCGAGAGTTCCGTCGACAGCAATCAAGTGGTGTGGGCGAAGAACGTCTTTACAAGTGACACCTTTATAATCGATGTATACAAACTCAGCCAGACCATGAGTCGGGAATGGAGTTCGAAGATATATTTGGCAGGCTATCGATTTGTCTATTAGCGTTTAGTCTAAACTGGCTAGTACTTGAAAGGGATGCGTAGCATGGCTTACCAACCCGTAGTTTGGTGTAAATGTCTGGCCAAGTGACGTTAGCTGCGGTGTGTCCATAAAGATCAATAAGGTCAGCATCAATGTCGACGACCAACAAAACTATTTTTTTCGGGGATTTATTTACTATTACATACCCAATGTACTTCGTGTCCTCATATATAAATTCACACATAAAAACGAAAGTTTACTGTTTAATTAACTTTTGATCCACCGATAATTTATAATCAGTGCCTAAAATCACTATTTGAAGTACTTGTTTTTCTATATCACAACCTAAGGTTTAAGAAGTTGCGCCTTCTTCAGATCTTAGATGGTATTAACATTTTCATTCTCACCTGCATCGGTTGTGGAACCTGACTGCTTACGAAATGTAGTTAAGTTGGCAAGAGAAAACAATTTACTTCTTTCGGAAGAAACTTGCTGGTGCTTGCTGGACTCATGTCTGTCGAAAATTCCGTTGAAGAAAACTTACCAACTTCTAGATGAATGTACGTTTGCCTGACTACATGTTTACCGTCATTTAGTATACAGTACTGAAGAGCTAAGGTTTCCAGAAGGTAGCGAGTTTGCAGTTGAGTCCATACGTGCCAGATCTGTTAACAAAGTAATATCACATTTTCGTATTCATAACTCCAGGGTGTTGTTTTCTATTATGTAAAATGGGTTGGGTGGCCACCTGTGTTCAATACATGGGAACCAGAATCTAATCTTCATGGATGTGAGGATTTAATACAAAAATTTATTGAATCTTATGGTTCGACGATTGGAATGCTTCCGGTATGTTCTGTTGATAATTAATCATATATTCAGCCTGATAATCAACCTGATAGAAAATCACAGGTTCAGGAAGTAATGGATCGATTGAAGGAAGCTGTCAATACATCTGGGTCGCTACCATTATATCTACTTGAACGATTTTCTAGTCTCCAACCTGATCCTACTAATAGCCTTCGACCATACAAACACTTACCCACCATAAACATCGAAAAGCTTTTTTCATCACAAATATCACAAGGCATTATAGAATCTATTTCACTCAAGCGACCTCCCAGTGTCGCTGATCTCTTGCCAGTTTCTACCAAACGTATTCGTCTTAGTCGGAAAGATAAACAAGTGTTAGATTCTGCTCTAAGTGCTTTTCAACAAAAACTCAACACTGTATACTCAAATGAAGCACCAATCACTGTCGAAAATTCTGTAGATTCTGAATGTGAGTCCCTATTCTTACGTAAAAGTTTGTCTAGCAATGTATTTTAATGAATCATTATGAAGCTAGATTTCTGTTTCCATCAGACATTCGCACTTAAATGTCTTGTAAAAAAATGTATATTCACTCTATGGACAAGCTGAGATGCATTTATTCAGTGCTTGCTGCATTTATTAGTCATTAAGAAGTATTTACTAAACCTAGTTACTATGCTTTTAGTAACCTTAGGATTAGGATCAGTCAGCGAGGTCGAAATGACTATCTGATTTGCTAGTGAATAAACTGCTTAGAATATCTTTCATATTAAACGAGTGAGGCCGGTAAATTAAGCGTACAGAATAACGCTGCAAGCATACTATGGTCGCATGAACTTCCATGGTAAGGTGGTCACCACAACAGCTTTAATTCTCACACATGCGATTGGTACAGACTGGTTCTGAAACATTTGTTCTTAGTATATGAAATACAACCCAAATATCCTTTTAATCTTACTCAATGGATCTATAAGACTACATTTCATTAGCATAATCAGATAGTGTCGTTGACATGCTCCCAGTCAACAAGATAGTGTTCAGGTAAGTTATTATTTAATTAACCTGACGAGGGGTTAATTACCTATAGGAGCACGTTTACAAAGAAATCAAACAAAATCGGTGAACAGTGAGTCGAGTAGTCCTGACGTACACCTAAAGTTATCAATCCCGATGACAATTCTCCATAAGCTCTGATTTGACCATCGGTATTCAAGTAAAGTCCTTACAGGGTTGGTGTATTTTGGCAGGCTTTTTGATTCCCGACACTACCACAGGACCTCTCGATCAACAGAGTCAAATAATAGCTTAAGGTCAAGGAATATAACTGAGGTCAGATGTCAGAAAGTATGTCTATATTCCAAAACCTGACGATCAATATCTCATTAAAACCTAGTTAAAGTAGTTGATCTTCTGTAGCTTCGTTTAGCATTTTGCGTTTTAGAATTGTTTGTCCATATAAGCAACAATGCTAGCGAATTAAAATAAGTGAGGGTAGTTAACTAGTGATGTGAGCAGCTGTGACTTCGAGTTGATAATAGTCTTTGATATGGATTATTACTTTTTCGGCAGACTGCCTCTAGCAATCAAACACATGACATCGTTAGCTTATTAGAGTACTAATTATCGGTTTTTGTTGAACATTTTATAGGTATCTCATAAATACAGTCAGTCATCATTCAGCTACAACATGGGACCAGGCACATCTAAGCATCGGTCCAAGTTGCCATACCTCGTTAGCACAACAAGTTAAATACAGAATTCATAGAAGTAGTTAATTCAATGGTGATAATATATAAAATATAAAGAAAGACTGCATATAAGGATATGGTACAGGAAGAAAGAATTAGTTGGCAGAAAGAAAGATAAAAAGCAATTTTAATCTCACGGTTTAAGGGAAGACAGAGTGTATACACCGATGCCATCGTGATCGATTCTGAACCGTTTAACCCAGTCTTCAACCATTGGTTACAATAGTGACGCGGACCCCAACCAAGTAGTCTGTACCTGACTGCATGGCTTAGACAAGAAGTTAGTGACCTTCAAGGGCTGATGCCACGTTTTGGTTTGACCGCCCCTAACTTTCTTCCAACCATTCCCCACACTAGTCAGCATTGCGCGTCGTGGTAATCGATGTTTCAGGCGTAAGCAACACGTAGGCCCAACCATCTCAGTTGGTGAAAATTTACAACCTCATCAACTGATATACCATCATTCCCTAATACCCTGTGTCTAACCTCACTATTACCCAGTGGTCCCAGCAGATGTTGGCCATATTTCTAAGACATATGTGGTCAAGTACTAGTAACTGACGAGTATTTTCTACAGTTAATAGCCGTTTCGCGGCCGTAAAGTAAAACAGAACGAATTGCCGCGCAGTATACTCGTCCCTTGATTGATAGACGGATATCTCGCCTTCTCCATAGTTGACGTAATCTGGAAGCCACTAGAAAGACATTTGTGACACATTTTCACGCCATGTAAGCCAATGTTTCAAGATGGTAACATAGGTTGAATTATCATCACTGGACACAAACACGTAGAATCCTCTGGAGATAATGATGATCAGGTACAAAACGTGGCCAAATATCCTCAACCCACAGTGTCCGGGTTTCCCAAACATAGGTTAGGAGTGCTCTCACAAACCCTTTGCAAACTTAATCTTTTACGGCCAGATTAACATCATGACGGCGCTAAAGATGGTTCATATTGGCTCAAGCTGCTCTGCCTTACACCATACGTTGATTGACCTCATCTGAAATGAAATCATCAACCCGCACAACTACCTAGGTTCAAGAACGTTTCGACTATTTTTAAGAGCTCTATAAAGAGCGAGTATAAGCATCAGCTGCTGCCAGTCTTGTAAAAGTACTTTGCATTTGGGAGATGTAAGGCATATACGATTTCTACGGATATTGATCGCTCTTATTATCAAACCTTTTCAAAGAACCCAGCCAGTTCCCTAATCGGAAGTTTGGCACCATTCTTACAAAAGGTTGAGGTTAACTCGTCTAGGTTTGATTGTTTGTGGCGCTTCAGAAGATGGATTCTCTTGCGGAACTTTGTATCATTAGATGTATCAGCCGTCACTGACCACGAAAGGAACGAAAGTGATTGATGTTGCTGGATAGGGGCGAATGGGCTGGACTGTCTCTTGAAGAACTCTGTCCATCGTCCAAGATGTTGAGCGTTGTTGATTAGGGTCCTAATAGCTTCATAAATTGTTTCACTCACTCCAGACTTACTGATGTCTTTGGCTCGGGTGAGTTGACAGCTCCCGACAGTTGTCTGATGAAACTCTTGCTTCCAACTCGCATGTTTCGACTACAAGGCCTCTCAGTCCTTAAGAAAACTTTATACAATTACCTTATGTAAGAGTTTAGTTTTATTGCCACGCTCCTGATTAGCTGGAGTTGACTGACGCTCGTCAAGGGGTTGTAAGGAGACTGTAAAAAACCAAATCTTAGGAGCGAGATGTTTTGCGAAACCACAAGCAACCTTAATCGGCATTTTCATGGTATCATGCAAATGCAGACAGTGCTCATATATACTTTTCGGTGGGTTGATAGCTAGCCTTAAATCTAGTTTCTTTTGATATTGGGTTACGGCTGATGGTGTGGCCAATTTGCTTACATCAATTCATTTAGGACGAAAAGTTTGTGGGCTACTAGAACATAAAATTGATGCAAACCAAGTCATGTTCAAAGTCCGCACAGTTATTTCAAAAGAAGTGAGTCTTATATATGATTACACCAATAGTAGCTGATCTCCAAGTAGTCGACTTAAGTTCGGGCTTAAGTTGCTGAGGAAGGACTCAATGTAGTACATTGGCGATGACTGTACCGATAGTTGGTAGCTGGAAACAATTTTGTTTGCACAATACGTCAGGAGATGGTCACCACTATCTGGCCAACGTGACCCCAAAGATTATTCAGGCGAATTTCCTATGTTCCTAAATGCCTGACTTGTACATTAAAGTTTCTGGTTAGCACTATAATAATGTGCTTTCTTGAAGGGACCAGCAAACTGTTGGTAGAACTCATCCTTCGTTGCATCTAAGCTGTAATCTATCAGAACCTAAGGGGAAATGAAGAAAAGACATCGTTTCCCATTATGATTTTACCTCACTTTGATAAATCTCTAATCTGGTGGCGCATAAATGACTGGTGATTGGGATTCGATCGATTAGCACCACCCTTGCTCTGGAGCTTAGAGGGACACCAACGCCAGCTTATCCGAACGAAAATGGCACAGGATCTCCAGATAACCTCACATGAAACAAGTTTTTCGAATCGACAGGTAGAGCATCACATTTGTATTACTTCACTAGAGTCTTGAATCCGGACTTCACGTACAACGAGTTGCTGTCAAGTAGAGAGATTTACTGATAAATAAACTCCTAGGAGTTTAAGTAGATCTTAGATTCCCTTCAATCGATATTCTTACAGAAAATACCTTAGCTCAACAACAGAATCTATCTTGACGAGAGACTAAACGTCTATGGTAAACATATGATCAGAGTAGTACTAGATCGTTTCCCAAATTTTACATTTTGCAACGATCTCTTTTTTCAAAATTAGTAGTTTATCTATTCAAAGCAAAGGTCAGTGAGATGTAGTTGTAGTACACTCACATAGTGTTTCTGACTATCACCTAACGAAACTTCAAATAAATTAGTAGGACTTTTTAACTGTGACTTTATGAAATCACGTGCTTGCCCCTAAATGCCCTGGTACGGCCGAGAGTGGGGAGAGTCCGCTCTCCCTCTGGAAACGCTCTCACATGGTCACGCGTATATAGCCTCTGCCAGGGAAGTCCTACTCACTGCCTTCTCGTAGCGGGGTGTTGTTTACGAAAATGAGAGGACGAGAAGCGAATGTCCGGCGCTTTAACCGGATTCAAAACCAATGGTGCACATGGGCTCCAGTATCCTGAGGGAACAAATGGCGTATGAACCAATCGTTGGTCACTGGCTTCCATGGGACTGCATCTCCTTACGATGCCCCACTGCTTGTGGATCAGACCTTCAGGTCGAAGGCTCGGGAGTGGCCCCCTAAGAAAACCACCTGCTTCGGTTTGGGCACCCGGACAGTATCACAGCCTACACACATTTCGAATGAGGTTTGTGTGGCGCATATGTATTTGGTGCCTCATTGTACCAATATCTATGTGTTAAAATAAATAATAAATAAATCACATGTTTACTGTAGTTTTGAATATGTATTTGTTCGGAGTTGGGAACCCACTAATCATACTGTTGGTACAAAAGATCCAGTCATTTTTGTAGAAGATAATACATATTGGACATTTTGTAGATTAGGTTTATCTAACCATATTCAGTGCCTAACACTTTAGATTTATGAAAGACATCATTTTAATGTTGTGTAACATTGTAATTAGATTGTTAATTATTTGTAACCAAAGCCGTCGTTAAGCATATGACTCAATTTAAATATCTAGGAATCCTTTAGACTTTAATCCTGATATCTAAAAATTATTTTCACTTCAGGCCCACCAGTTGAATTCCAGCCGATTCCAGATTATTTACCTGGACAAGATGTATTCTTACCAACCAAAGCTCCTATTGGATGTGAATGTACGATGGACAATTTGGATCAGTCAGAGCTAGCCAAAATCCGTAAAGCAGATGGAAGCAGTTCACCAGTTATATATCCTTGTTGGATCAATAAACGACGTAGTTGTTGTGCTGTTCGTGCTGGTGCAGTTCCACCCTATGACAAACGGAAAAGGCTCGTTGCCCCTCCTGGTCATCCTGTTTATGAATGTAACTCCTTGTGCGTTCACTTAACATTATTTACGTATATTCTATTTGATTTTTAACCAATATTCATAGTTGATGAAAATTTATTTACCGATTACGACTTACTATTCATGGATTTAGGATTATTATAATCCCTTTGTCATTATTTGAAATATCAATAACTTATTTCATCTGTTTATTTCGGTTAACTTTATACAATTAGTTTAAAAACTTGGGAGTGTGTTGTTTTATCTCACTATCCTTAACCTTCATGTACGCTTTTCTTGTCACTAAAAAGACTTTTTGACTGTTGATATATTTTTTAATTTATCAGGTAGACTTATTACCAGAAGACTTAAAAAAAGACATACATATTTTTACTCTAATTCAGTTTGATTAACCCTAGCAAAAATTGTTAATAATTGGAGCTACTAAATGATCAAATCATTTTTCTAAAGAACTAATGTAGTAGGATTTAAGAAAATATTAAATTATAATCAAACTTACTTAATCTACATTGGATTCAATCAAAAGTGTAAACATTGTTTGGTTGACAACGAGCGTTTTTACGTTTTATAATTGATTAGAATATATATGTCCCATAGATGTTTTTATTCAATCACTAAAATTCGTTACATGATACTTTATATTTAGTAGTACGATTTTTGATCGAGAATTATGTTTTTTTAGGTATTCATCTTGTTCAAATGGCTAATAAATTTTAAATTTATTCATTAAGAGTGTTTCCTTTATTTATTTCATCAGATTTTATTTCAAGTAGGTATCTAGAAAATAAATTTATGTAGCCCACTATTTAGTGTTTTATAGGTTCATTGATAAATAACACTAATGTAATTTGTTATTGATTCTGGTTAGCGTTTTTTTAGCGAGTTAGTTTTATACGGGATGGGGACGCTAACCCCATGCCCAACCCTCCTCCTTTATCCGGGCTTGGGACCGGCAGTAGCCCCCGAAGGGACTCCAGGCGGAGTTAGTCTATACGCTTTCCCTATATATTATACAATTTTCCCCGAGTATTATGAACTGTAAATAAGCGTTTTATCCACCATCGTTACAAATTGTTTCTTGGAAATGATTGGGTTTAGATAACTGTGTTTTGTTCACTTAATATCTAGACTTTCTTAACTTATCAAAGTATGCTATTAACTACACTTCTGTACAGATGAATTGTAATAACCGTGTATGTAAAGTAAATTGACATAACGGAATTTAAACTCGGTTCAGCAGTTGAAAGTTAAGTATATCCATTACAAAACGATATTCTATGCATATTTAAATGGGTTCTAAATATTTCACAACCCTAAAACTAGTTACTGGGTCACTAAAATCGTGTATATGAAATTTTCGAGTATTGTTGATGTAGTCTACTCACTTTTATTTTTTAATTCATTTACCAAGTACGGACTTGTGTACTTGGCTTCGAGCCATACCCCAAGTATTAGGGCTTTTGATACTGTCCATTTTCCGGAACCGGAGTAGCGGAGCGGGGTTCGAATCTGCTACTTAGTGACTGAGAATAAAATGACTGAACCACTGCCCCATCAATTTTACTCTTTTCAACCACATGAGCGATCTTGATTCTTACTGTCTTATATAGTAGAGTTATCAACTGGAAAGGGACGATATCATTGCTACTGAGCTTCTTATCACTGATTTCTAAGGACCTGTTCCTGTTCCTTTTAAAATGTCCTTATTTGCTAATCACTAACTCATTATAAACGTTTTAGTAATTTTATGCAATTCCTTCAAATTTTAGATGTCCATGCGATTCGTCTTGTCCATTTCGTGTTGTTCAACTTGGACGGAAAGTTCCTTTGTGTGTCTTCCGTACACGTGACCGAGGATGGGGCGTTAAAACAGTGGTCCCCATTAGTAAAGGGACATTTGTCGTTGAATACTTAGGAGAGGTAAGCAACATTCTTAGATTTTAAAAAGTTTGGTGCTTTAAATTAATTCGTTGAGTAAAGTCATGTATACGTAACCCTCATCTTACTGATATATATTTTTCCTTATCATCGACTAACTAGTAGTCTGTTTTTGTGAACTGTTTCGTCACTGAATTAGTCTGATTTTATTGTGACAGATACACAGAAAGTCTACAATAAAGCCATCCCAGTGTATAACTTGCAGTTTTTTCGCCAATGCTTCAAATCTATGTTTCTTCATTCGGTTTGAGAGACGTGGTACAACTAACTGCTAGCTGTAGTAATTTAAGTTAGGCTTGTGGATACAAATCAACCAGTCAGTCAACCTCGTACATATGTACATCTGCTAAAGTTCTCATACCCCGTTAGCATAGACAGATTAAGTTGTCTGATCAAATCCTAGAATACTAAAAGCAGTACAAGTATCAGTGGTGATTGAAAATATTCAATGTCGAAAATACGACTTAAAATAAAATTAGTGAAATAAAACGCTATAAATGTTATAAGGAATTAAAGAAATTAGAATTTCAGGGAAGACGGAGAACGGATGCTTTTGCGACATTGCAAATGATTTTGAGCCATGTCATTCAAAGTCTAGCCATTAGTTACGATAGTCATGCGGACCCCAACCAAGTAGTCTATACCTATTAACATGGCTCAGTTCACTTATCTGTGACTTCGTGGACTGATGCCATATCTTGGTTTCCTCGCCTCTACCCTTCTTCTAGCCCACTCATACACCAAAGAACATCGCCCGTCAGTGTAGGTGATGGTTTGGCATACATAATACATGTCCCAACCACCTTGAGTTTACGAAGATTTACTACCTCACCAATTGACTTGTCATCCTCGCTTAACACCTTATTCCTAACCCAGACACTGCTTATTCCGTGGTCCCAAAATGCAAGAGCAATGCTTCGAAGACACCTATAACAGAATACCAGTAGTTAGACGACAAAGTGTTATAAAGGCTAATATTTTGGACACTATATTTGTTAAACTTATTCCTCTGTGATTGTTACAAGAAGATTTTTGTCCTTTCTTATAAATTGGGACAATCAGCGATCGAGACCAGTAAGATTGAACTACGTCCAGATCCCAGATTCTAGTTAAGATTTCAGCTGGTCTAACTGTTAGAACTGGACCACCATCCCTAAAATTCTCAGGGCTTAGTCCATCAGACCCTGCTGTTCTCCTTCGCCTTAGATTACGTACAGCCTCTTTAACCTGACTAAGAGTTGGTGGAGATAGTAAATAACGTATATCTGAAAACCAGTCGTACTGTGTTCCTAAATTGTTCTGTCCATTAGTGCAATGTCCTGGATTGAGAGTGAATCACAGTCTCATCTTTCTCCAAGATATTCCCACTAACAGCTATATTTTTGATGCCTCCATCCTTGATAAGTCTAAACAGTTGTCTACTGTTACCTATCGCTGCTGCATTTTCCATGTATTCTGCTTTCACTATCCACCACCGCTCACGATCACTATGTAGGCTTTCTGTAGTCCTACGGTTAAGCTGCCTCCACTTCTCAATGTGTTCTGAGCCAAACGGGGTGAATTTCGGAGCATTTATCAGTTTTGTGGACGCCGCTGAAAACCACTGATTCTTCTCAACCTTTTGGTTCATGTTACTAGTAGATATCACTGCTGTTTCCACAGCATTTTGGATATCATATGAAGCTGCTTTGGGGTGGATATCATTTTCACGATTGACTAGCTCCCTCCCTAGGTGTTCCTGAAATATATTAACTTTTTCATCATTAGGTTGTGCTCTAAGTTATTTATTTATTTATTTGAACACATGAATATTGGTACAAGAAAGCGCCAATATATATGCGCCACACAAAACAATGAGAATTCGAAGAGAAATAGAAAGAAAAAAAACTAAGGAGCGCAAAAGAAAAAGAGAACACTAACGAAGAGATTGGTGTAAGGTAGTGTGGTAGTAACCAGGGAACGGTAAGGTACAATCAGAACAAATCTTTCAGGTAAGGGAGACACAACCACTTTTTATGAAGAAAGTAAAAGAAGGTTACAGCAGGATCGCCACTGGCTTCTATTCTGAGCCATATCTGATAACGTCTCTAGCCACTGTGTAGCACCATCTCTCAGACCCCAACCAGGGAGTCGTGAAGGACCGACACAAGCCAGTCCTTTGCAGCTTTCTTTCATACCACGACACCATGTCATACACTGACCACCTCTCCGCTTCTTCCAACCAGTCCCAGAGTCGGCAAATAATGCACGACGTGGAATTCTCTGGGACGACATTCGTAGAACATGTCCAAGCCACCGAAGTCGGTGTTTCAAGATGGTGACACCAATTGAATTATCATCTCTGTGCCCGAACACACGATGCCGAGCCTCTGCATTACTGACATGGTGTTGCCACTGAATGTCAGCAATCCTTCGGAGACAGCGATGATCGAACACAGAGAGTCGTCTAACGTCCTCAACTCGGAGAGGCCAGGTTTCGCAAGCATAGAGCAAAACTGCTCTCACCGACGCGTTGTAGATCCGACCTTTTACAGCCAGACTAACATCACGAAGGCGCCAAAGGTGGCCCAGATTGGCATAAGCCTCTCTGGCTTTCACTATGCGTGCATTGATCTCATCACTCACACCCCCACCAGCACTTATGCAGCTACCCAGATACACGAACTTCTCAACTACGTCTATCTGCTCACCATCCAGGGTGAGTACAGGATTAGAATCCTGCCAGTCTTGTAGAAGTACTTTGCACTTCGAAGGTGCAAAGCACATACCATACCTAAGGACACTGATTGCCAACTGATTAAGTGTGGATTGCATGCCTTGGGCATTATCGCACAGTAAGACAATATCGTCCGCATACTCAAGGTCGAGAATTCTTTCTCCAGGCAACAGATCCACACCAACATTACTTACATTCATCAGAGCTGTTTCCAGAATATCATCGATGGCAAAGTTGAAGAGGAATGGTGAGATTGGGCAACCCTGCCTAACCCCACTGCTCGAATGGAACAATGGAGAGAGGTGGTTGTATGCCCTCACTCTGCCTGAGGTGTTTTTATATAGGGCTTTTAGGATGTTAATAAACTTCTCAGGCACACCCTTCTTCAATAGACAATTCCAGAGAACAGTCCTGTCCAACGAATCGAAGGCAGCCCTGATGTCAAGAAACACTACGATTGTTGGCCTTTGATTAGTATGGCGATGTTCTAACATTTGGCGGAGGGTGAAGATATGATCAATGCATCCTCGACCGGAACGAAACCCAGCCTGCTCCTCGCGAGTCAACTGTGTGAAATCTATGAAAGGCTGGCTTGCAAAGGTTCATGTGGTATTTGTTTAAATCGTTGATATATTAATTACGTCTTCACTTAATGAAAAATCCCAGATACCTCTGCAAGGCGTAGGAGCATATTCCCGGAATATTTATGTTGAACGGTTGGATAAAGTGAACAACGTTTATTTGGGCAGCTATTTCGGTGCTAATGGTGGCTCGGGTGATGAGACCAATTTGCGCGTAGTCAAACTCAGCGTGGTTTATTCCAGTCTGATCCAACCCTGACCCCGTCATGATGTTAATCTGACTGTAAAAGGCCGGGTTTACAGCGTTTCTATGGGACCATTCTTACTTTGTGCTTGCTAAACCTGGAACCTTCGATCTGAGGATGTTTGGCGACATTTTATGTTTGACCGTCATTGTCTCCAAAAGACTATTTACATCCAGTTAGTTTGAATGTCTTGGCTTCTGCGATTGCTTCCCACTGGTATGAAATGAAAGGTGAAGACAGCCAGTGTATCATTGGGCCTCAACATACACAAAGTAAATAGAAAGATCCTCAAATACAACACGGAGAATACCAACCCAATCACACTTGGTGGAGAAGCTCTGGAGGATGTGGGATCTTTCACGTACTTGGTCACCATCTTCGAGGATTGTTAAGGATCGCGCTCCTACAGTTGTAGAACGCATGGAACTCAAAACAATTGTTAACCAACATCAAAGGATCTTCATTACAACCATCAAGACATTTCTACTGTACGGGGCTGGAACTTCCAGAGCTACCATCATCAGAAAAGTAGGAGTATTTCTACACAATTGTCTACGCAATATACTCAATGTCCGTCGGTCGGATACCATCAGCAACATTTTTACTGTGGGAGAGAACGAATTTGCTCCCATCTGTTGAGGAAATTAGGAAAAGACGATGGAAATGGATAGGACATACATTACGCAAATCATCAAACTGCATCACGAGGCAAGCCCTAACTTGGAATTCTGAAGGGAAACGGAAAAGTGGAAGGCCAATGAACAAACTGCGTCGAGAATTAGAAGCGTACTTGAAAAGGAAAATTAGCAACTGGAGACAGCTTAGAAGGATTGTTTGGGACAGAGTTGGGTGGATAATGCTGGTGGGCGACCCATGCTGTTCCACGAGGGACAACAGGCTTAAGTTGGTTAGTAAGGTATGAGATGAAGCAATATGAAACAATCGTAATACAAAGATCTCTTTTCAAGTAGATGTAGATTTGTATACGTGTATTCTGGGTGGAAAGGATTAGTTTCTGTAGTGATAACACGTCAACAATATCTTGTTGTGGCAATGTGTATTTGGGTGCAGTAACTATAGTTCAATTGGCGCCACGATCTTAAAGCACTGAATTCGTCGGTTTGGTCATCCTAGCGATTTCTACGCTGGACTTTATCTGCTGACGTTGTGATTGAACAGAAAAAGAAGATAGGCCGTCAGTTTGTAATTTGATGCTTGGGTGTAGAAGCTGTTTAGGGATAACATCTGTCGTTGCACTACGACTCCAGTTAGGGTCCTAGGGATTGTACAACTCAGATGTAGCTCAAAATGCAGGCGATTGGGGGTCGTACTCCTAATTAGTTTTTTGGCATCCCATTGCGGCACTGTTTATATGCCTAAACGAATAATCATTTATCAGTAATTGGTCGTAAAATTTTCAAACATGGTTGTTAAAAAGCTTTAGATGTGTTAGTCTGCCATACATCGAATAAATGTATGACACTTCTGTGACTAGAACTCATCTCGTTTAGGATATTTGCTGTAATTATCTTTACAGAGGTATTATCATTAATGGACATGTTGCTTAATACGTCAGAATTGTGCAAGCAATTATGTCGAAATACGTTAGATAAAATGATTCTTTTGATCTCATATTGTTGATCGAATTCTCTCAATGAAGGAACTGTGTTACAACTTATCTGTTTATCGTCTATTATAAAGGATTTTGTGAATATCTCTATTTATGATAAATTTCACCACTGCTATTCGTTTGTGTTTCCGTACGATTAATAATCACGTATGAGCTATTATTTAATGACTTATTGTTCATTTTTACAGATTCTTAATTTTGATGAAGCAGAAAAACGAGGAATAATATACGATAAACAGACTATGACATATCTTTTCGATTTGGATTTCGAAGGTGATGCTTATTACACTGTAGATGCTTCTCAGATGGGAAATATATCACATTTTATTAATCATTCGGTAAGTGTTTTGTTTACAAGAAGGTAATTATTACGATATTTCTTGGCATTATTTTTCTATTTGAAGTCTTACGCGCGTGTGATAAATTGTTAAACATTGGGTTGCTTAGTTGTTTTGTAATATAATCCTACTACATTCCTAACTTGTCACTGTCTGTTCACCATCACCTCTTGAATTCTGTCTTTTAGGAGTATCATAAGAACTTAAAACACCGCATATATATGCATAGGTTTAATTTGTTAAACTACATCACAACGAGATAAAGTCATCACCATAGTAGTAGCATTATCAACGATTATTAAAAGGACCAGCATAGGGAATGTAGTTCAAAAAGAAAGGGTAAATTTGTGTAATAGGAATTCTAAAATAATTTTCAGACCTAAGATTTAGGGGTAGACAAAGAAAGAATGAATCTCCCCCATTGAGATAGATTTTAATGCATATTGGCCCCCTGAATGCCCTGGTACGGCCGAGAGTGGGGAGAGTCCGCTCTCCCTCTCGAAATACTCTCACACGGCCACGCGTATACAGCCTCTGCCAGGGAAGTCCTACTCATTGCCTTCTCGTGGCGGGGGTGTTGTCTACGAAAATGAGAGGACGAAAAGCGAATGTCCGGCGCTTTAACCGGATTCCAAATCAATGGTGCACATGGGCTCCAGTATCCTGCGGGAACGAATGGCGTATGAACCAATCGTTGGTCACCGGCTACCATGGGACTGCATCTCCTTACGATGCTCCACTGCCTTGTGGGTTAGACCTTTAGGTCAAAGGCTCGGGGAGTGGCCCCCTAAGATAACCACCTGCTTCGGTTTGGGCACCCGGGCAGTATCACAGCCCACACACAAATTGATGAACTCTTTATGCCTATGGAAATTACCTTTCTCGCTTTGAAAAACAAACAATTGATTCAGATTATTATCATTACAATTATTGTCATTATTAATACTAATATTATTATTACTACTATTATTGTCATTATTGTTATTATTATCATTATTATTATTATTTTCCACATTATTCACCCTCTTTTATACTTATACAGCGGCTCGTCTTTGGTGGAAATCCGACTGTATCTAAACGTTCTCGAGTCACTGTCCGGTTGAAAATTGTATGTTACCACCGAATACGAGGACTGAAGCAGATTTTCTGAAACCACGTGCACCATTCAAACTGGCTGCCTTCAACGTTCGCACATTTATGCAGGTCGGACAACAGATAGGGCTGGCTATGTCTTTGGAAAGTCTTAATATCGACGTGTGTTGTCTATCCGAGACCCGTATTCAAGACTCTGGCGAAGTACTACAAATTCGATCTCCATCTGTCGCTTCGAAAAGCTTGTTTTACGTGCGCTTATCCGGGGACCCTGTGGCATCTTCGTCTGGTCTTGCTGGCGTTGGTGTCGCACTAAGCGCTAGAGCTGAGGCAGCACTAGTCGATTGGATCCCCATTAACAGTCGGTTATGTGCTGTTAGATTAGAAAGTTCCATCAAAGTGAGAAGAAATCGGCGTGAGAAACGATGTCTTTTCGTCATCTCCGCCTATGCCCCGACAGATTGCAGCCCGGATGCAATCAAGGATGAGTTTTACCACCAGTTATCAGTTCTTCTCCAGAAAGTGCGTTCGACAGATATTGTAGTACTAGCCGGAGACTTGAATGCTCAGGTCGGGCGTCTAGGCACAGAAGAGAGTCGTTTAGGTGGCCGATGGGGACTCGTTGGTCGCAGGTCAGATAACGGGGACCGTCTACTGCAACTTTGCACAGACCACAACCTGTTTCTGGCTAGCACTAACTTTCGGCACAGTCATCGCCGATGTGCCACCTGGCGTCCTCCCTCTGCATCTCAAGCCTGGACTCAGATTGATCACATCGCGATCAGCTACCGCTGGCGTGGTTGTGTAAAAGACTGCCGCTCCTTTTGGAGTACCTATCTGGACTCTGACCATGCCTTGGTCTGCGCCAATCTTGCCTTACTTTTCAGTGGACAACGAAGTGAACGCCATCAACGGATTGATGTTAGCAAGCTGGTTGCAACTTCTGTTGCAAGTAAGTATCGAACCGAGCTAGCCTCTAGGCTAGCTACCACTCCACCGAAAAGTATAGATGAGCATTGGTTGCAATTGCATGACGCCATGAAAATGGCGGGAACAGTCAGTTGTGGGTTTGCGAAACGTCCCGCTTTTAAGCACTGGGTTTCTTCTGGTTCCTTACAACTCATTGAAGCCCGTCGGTCTACTCCGGGTGACCGTGAGTTTGACCATAAACGAAGGATGTTACGTAAGGAAATTGGGCAAAGCTTGCGTAAGGACCGAGAAGCCTGGTGGTCGATGCGTGCTAATGAGCTGGAAGCAGCAGCTGCATCTGGTAACTACCGGAAGCTCTTCCAGCTCATCCGAGCCACTGGCAGCAAGAAGTCTGGTGTGAGTGAAACAATCTGCGAGGATGATGGGATGCCAATCACTAACATCCATCGACGTCTTGGACGATGGGCAGAATTTTTCGAAGGGCAGTTCAACTGGCCTGCTGCTCCGGCAACATCGGTCAGACTGTCCTGCCCTCCATGGCCGGTGACGACTGATCCACCAAATGAGGAGGAAGTCCGCAAGGAACTCCAACTCTTGAAGCGTTACAAATCACCTGGCCCAGATGACTTACCTCCGGCTCTTTTTAAAGATGGTGGTGACTTTTTGACTAAGGAATTGACGACGTTGTTTACAAAGGTTTGGGAACTAGAGAGTGTACCAACGTCATGGAATGAGTCGATAGTTGTCCCTATCTTTAAAAAGGGTTCACGTCGTTCTTGTAACAACTATCGGGGGATAAGTTTACTTCCGATTGCGTCCAAGCTATTGGCTTCCGTCATTCTTCGTAGGTTGTTCAAAACCCGAGAAAGATTGACTCGCGAGGAGCAGGCTGGGTTTCGTTCTGGTCGAGGATGTATTGATCATATCTTCACCCTCCGCCAAATGTTAGAACACCGCCATACTTTTCAAAGGCCAACAATCGTAGTGTTTCTTGACATCAGGGCTGCCTTCGATTCGTTGGACAGGACTGTTCTCTGGGATTGTCTATTGAAGAAGGGTGTGCCTGAGAAGTTTATTAACATCCTAAAGCCCTATATAAAAACACCTCAGGCAGAGTGAGGGCATACAACCACCTCTCTCCATTGTTCCATTCGAGCAGTGGGGTTAGGCAGGGTTGCCCAATCTCACCATTCCTCTTCAACTTTGCCATCGATGACATTCTGGAAACAGCTCTGATGAATGTAAGTAATGGTGGTGTGGATCTGTTGCCTGGAGAAAGACTTCTCGACCTTGAGTATGCGGACGATATTGTCTTACTGTGCGATAATGCCCAAGGCATGCAATCCGCACTTAATCAGTTGGCAATCAGTGTCCGTAGGTATGGTATGTGCTTTGCACCTTCGAAGTGCAAAGTACTTCTACAAGACTGGCAGGATTCTAATCCTGTACTCACCCTGGACGGTGAGCAGATAGACGTAGTTGAGAAGTTCGTGTATCTGGGTAGCTGCATAAGTGCTGGTGGGGGTGTGAGTGATGAGATCAATGCACGAATAGTGAAAGCCAGAGCGGCTTATGCCAATCTGGGCCACCTTTGGCGCCTTCGTGATGTTAGTCTGGCTGTAAAAGGTCGGATCTACAACGCGTCGGTGAGAGCAGTTTTGCTCTATGCTTGTGAAACCTGGCCTCTCCGAGTTGAGGACGTTAGACGACTCTCTGTGTTCGATCATCGCTGTCTCCGAAGGATTGCTGACATTCAGTGGCAACACCATGTCAGTAATGCAGAGGTTCGGCATCGTGTGTTCGGGCACAGAGATGATAACTCAATTGGTGTCACCATCTTGAAACACCGACTTCGGTGGCTTGGACATGTTCTCCGAATGTCGTCCCAGAGAATTCCACGTCGTGCATTATTTGCCGACTCTGGGACTGGTTGGAAGAAGCGGAGAGGTGGTCAGTGCATGACATGGTGTCGTGGCATGAAAGAAAGCTGCAAAGGACTGGCTTGTGTTGGTCCTTCACGACTCCCTGGTTGGGGTCCGAGAGATGGTGCTACACAGTGGCTAGAGACGTTATCAGATATGGCTCAGAATAGAAGCCAGTGGCGATCCTGCTGTAACCTTCTTTTACTTTCTTCATAAAAAGTGGTTGTGTCTCCTTTACCTGAAAGATTTCTTCTGATTGTACCTTTTCGTTCCGTCGTTACTACCACACTACCTTACTCCAATCTCTTCGTCATTGTTCTCTTTTTCTTTTGCGTTCCTTAGCTGTTTTTTTTTTCTCTTTCTATTTCTCTTCGAATTCCCATTGTTTTGTGTGGCGCATATATATTGGCGCTCTCTTGTACCAATATTTATGTGTTCAAATAAATAAATAAATAAATAATGCATATTGAACAATGTATCCAACCATTGATCAGTATAATCGTGAGAAACTCAACCAATTAATCCTCACCTACTGATATCTCTCAGCCTAGGTGTTGTCTTGTTATTTGGGGTTCAGTATGACCTACGATGTTATGGTTTTAGGGACGAAAACAATTGAGCTTCTCTAATACGATCGGCTTTCTTCGGGATTAACAACAGTCAATTATACTTAACACATGAAACCTGAAGGGCTAAGACAGGAAGAAATCGGAACTGCAGGTAGCTTGATTTTTGTGGTAGAGCAAACGACTCAAAAGGAATCGGTACAAAAGTTGTTATCATAATAGCAAAATGTGACCTTCGAGCATGTAGTAATTTAGCGAACCACCAATGACAACCAATCAAAGGTTTAACGTCACAACGAAAATCGAATCGGTAGAAAGTATGCGAGTGGTTATCGTTCCTGAAGAGATCTTAGCCCTTCTAAGAAAATCTGACCATTCTTGCGACCGCCTTAGCACTAAGTCACTGTGTGGAGTAATGCCATGTTTTTGTTTGGTTGCCATTGGGTTTCTTCTTACATATCCGGTACACCACCCAACGCCACTCGTCGGA